AGAGAAAACCAGTTGGATATTATTCTAAATTATTAGATTCTGTAAGTAAAGGATGGCCAATTTGTCTGCAACCTATAGTAGCTACTGCTTTGTTAGTTAAGGAAGCTATCAAAGTGACCTTTAGAGGAGAATTAAAAGTTTTCACCCCTCACAATATAAAGAGAGTACTGCAGCAGAGAGCTGAGAAATAGCTGACAGATAGTCGGCTCTTAAAATACGAAAGTATTTTATTACACTCACCCAGGCTGGAGTTGGAGGTGGTGAGCTTGCAGGATCCAGCCCGGAACAGGGGGGGTTGGAGATCTAGTGCATGATTGTCTCCGGGTGGTGGATCTTCAGATGAGGATTGGAGGGTTTGGAGAGGGAGGAGCTAAATGGGGATGAGAGGTTGTACGTGAATGGTTCGTCTGGAGTGGTTAGTGGAAGTCGAGGGTCAAGATACACAGCAATAGATGGAGTGACTTTTCAAGTCAGAGAGTCCGGACCCTTAGACAGGACCTGGTAGCTCAAGCTTGTGAATTACATGCACTACTGAGAGCATTACAGTTATTAGACAGAAAAACAGGCATTATATTTATAGATTCTAAATATGCATTTGGGTGGTTCATACGTTCAGCAAAATATGAGAAGAAAGAAAGAAGACTGATTAATACATCAGGTAAGAAACTTGTTCATGAGACCTTAATTAGAAAAAAATAAAAATCTTATGAGCTCTGAGAACACCAAAGCAGATTGCAGTTGTGTACTATAAATTGTATTCATTTAATTCTAGTCCGAGTGTTACAGACCACCTTCATTGTAACGCCATGAACCCTTCACAATTTCCCCCTCTGGAACCAGCTGCAGAACACAGACGTCGAACACGCCTAAATAATCTAATGACTATGTGGAGAACAGCGCTGCAGAAAAAAGGAATTAATCTCGAAGGAGGAATTATAGATATAAGTGATTTGCAAAAACAGTTAATGAGTGCTTGTCACACTCATGGTTGCTTATGTTACCCTTGGATTTGTGTAAAGTGTCAAAATTGTAACAGGAAAACTTGGAAAGTAGTGAGAGAAAGAGAAGTGAGAGAAGGAATTTTTAACATACTATGTTTAGCTTGTAACTCTCAAGCTCATCAATTATGGACAGGAGGGCGTTGGGCCTCTGACTTTCTAAACACCCCTATTCTTAATAGGGAAGTACATCAGGTTGTACAGCGTATTGAAAACTTAGAAATCAGAGCCTGTGTATTCTTTCTTTATGTGATTATAATCCAAGCTATAAAAGCTCCATTGTGCCAATAAAACATTATCATTACATCCGAATGTGGACAACACATTGCAGTCCCACGTTCCCACACTGTTGCTGACGAACGGTGGGAACAAACCAAATCATATTGGGCACAACGCAGGTGAATGTCAAAAAGACAATGTTTGGGCTAGTTATGATAATGCTAAGAATAAATAACAATCAGTTAGCACAAAAGTATGTATCCCTAAAAGACAGTTAAAATAAATCTGTGAAAATGCCATGGTAGAAACATAGTTACCTTCTACCAGTTGAGCACTAATTCTCCTAACTTGTACACCCACTGCTTTGCTGGCCGTGTGTGGAGCAGGGGTCTCCCCGGCAGCCCAGCGCGCTGTTTTGCTATTTGCATTTTATATAAATCTTTAATAAATGTTTGCTGCTATATTTCAGCATAAGTTTCATTTACTTATATCACCCACCACGATGCAAAGGGGCTCAGAGTCAGCAGGGCTGTCCCTGCTGAGAGGGTTACTTCCTGCTGCCCCTGAGCAGGGAACACTCTGGTGTCCCAGCAGCAGCTCCTGCCCCCCTGCAAGCCCTGGGTCTCTGTAGCGGCAGTGCCGGGTGCTTGTGAGCCCAGCCCTCCTCCCTCCCCCATATTAGGAACAGTCGGTGTTCCTGCAGAGTTTGTAGTGCAGTCACAGTTCACAGGAAGAAGTGACAAGTTCCCGATTGCTCAGTTGTCAGTCACAGAGGCACAGTTTGCCCTGAGACAGGGGCACCAACCAGCAGCACAGAAGGATCCTGTGGCCATGTCCTGCAGTCTGAAGTGCTGTGGCCTCTGTCTTGAACCATGTCAGTGACCTTCAGGGCCACCCAATAAGCCCATAACAGGGGACATACAGGAGGTGTGTCGGGAAGCCTGTAACCCCCGAGTATCTCAGCCCATGGAGAAATGGGGAGGGACCAGCGCTCGGGGCAAAGGGGATAAAAGAGGTTGATGCCTCCACTGAGTTGATGGATCTCACTGAGATTTTTTTCAGTGACCGCTCCCTTTTATTCAAATAAAAGTTTATTTTTTTAGTTAGCTCCTCTGTCTCCTGGCTATTTATGTGTTTCCCAATACCTGGAATTTTTGAAGGAAAGGAAAGGGAAAGGGAAAGGGAAAGGGAAAGGGAAAGGGAAAGGGAAAGGGAAAGGGAGAGAGGGAACAGAAATTCAGGGTCCTGGAGGTGCTGCCCTGGTTTGGTAGCTGTTCTTTCACAACTTTCTAGAAGTGGGTCAAAGGCTTGACAGCTTCCTGTGTATCATGCATGCAGCCTGGATTTCTTTGAAAAATACTTCCTCCAAATGGAACACAACGGTACCTTTAGGACATCCATCCCCCAAATGGATAACTCAGAACATTAAGAATAAAAAATTACACCCCCCCAGTAGTCAAGATAAGCTTGTACTTATTTCCTAAAAGCATCCCTGTGTGGTGTCCCCCCATTTTCTATCTGGTAAGAGTTTGGAGGGGGTGCTTTGTCAAGGGAAGCTCTGGAGGCCCATTGCACACCGGTGGGGCTGCAGTGTGGGGGTGTGGGGCTTTGGTTCTCTGGTTGCCAGGGGCCACCCCTGGGCAGAGAGGATCATTCAGGAGCTCACAAAGGAGGTGTTCCCATGGGGAGCTCTGCAGGGTCCCAGCAGCAAATGCCCCAGTGAGGCCTGTGCTGTGGGGGAGTGTGCAAGGGGAGGAGGCTGGGCCAGCCCAGGGCCGGGGTAGAAAGGCTGCCCCAGGGAGGGGGTTCTGACCCTGTAGGGCCAACCCCAGCTGCCTGGGTCCCTGTCTTTGCAGGACCACATCCCTGAGGCTCCCGTCCCCACTGCCCCAAAGCAGTGTCAGCTCCCTGTGTGCCAGCCCCAGGCAAGGGGTGGTGAGTGCAGGGGGAGTGAGTGGGCTCCTGGTGGTTTGAAGGTGAGGGGAGTTTTGGCCACATGGTTTTTCTCCCTACAGTGCCAAACAGCATCTCTGAATTCTTCCTATGTCACCTGACCTTGCTTCCACTGGGCACACACCTTCCTTTTTTGCCTTATCTCCAAGACAAGATCCCTACTTAGCCAAGCCACCTTCTGTCTCACCTGCTTGACTTCCAACATTTGGGAATTGCTGCTCCTGTGCCCTTAGGAGGTGATGTTTGAGAAGTGACCAGCAGTGATGGCCCCTAGCACCTGCAAAAGCATTTTCCCAGGGCACCTTCCTTCCTAATTCCCTGAGTAGCCTGAAGTCTGCTCTCCTCATGGCCAGAGATGAGATTTTGCTGGCACTTTTTCTCCTGTTAACAGAGATTTTTAACTTAATCACTTTGAGGTCACTGTGGCCAAGACGGCCCCAATCTCCACTTTGCTCACAAGATCCTCTCTGTGGACAAGCAGCAGATCAAGGAGGGCATCTTTCCAAGTCAGCTCCTCTAGGACCTGTTCCATAAAGTTGTCATCCAGGTTTTTTAAGGAATCTTCTGGCCTGGGTTGTATCATTTGTGTGATGCTCCCAATTAATTTCTGGCAAGTTGAAGTCCCCCATGAGGACAAGGGCAGTTGACTTGGAAGTGTCCTTTAGCTCCTCAAAGAATAATCCATCGGTGTCATTGTCCTGGCTGGGAGGTCTAGAGGAGACTCCCATGGTGATATTGGCATTATTTGTTTGCCCCAACGCCCCCCCACTACCCCCCAAAAAATGGGACTGGGAAGAACTTGGAAGCTTTACTGGGGCCACTGAGAGCAGCTAGGCAGGGGCAGAGAGACAACAGGGAAGGGGGGGACACATGATGCCCCCCAAAATCATCAGGGGGACGGGGGGTGTCCAGTCTGGGCCTGAGGCCATGGGGAGGGACTGTGGCCACCGCTGGCTCAGGATCTCTGGGCAGAGAGAAAAGGGGGTGACACCAGGGTTGGGGAGTCCCCTGGGGGGGCACACACACTCCAGGGAGAGGAGGACATGACCCCCTGGGGACCCTCCTCACCTTCTGGTGCAGGTAGAAGCCGAGCCCCAGTGCCAGGAAGACAAAGTCCGACACAAAGCCCCCGACCCCCGTCAGCATCTTGCTGTGGGTGGTGTCCAGCAGCATCTCTGGGGGCCCGGGGGGGTCAGGAGCCCCCAAAACATCTCACAGACCCCCCCCACGACCCCCTAAATTTCATCCTAGTTGCCCCCAGCCCACCCAGGACTCCTGAAACCTCTTTCAAGTCCTTACCCAGCTCCCCTAGGAATCTCCAAACCCCCTCCTAGCCCCTCCAGCACCATCCAACCACACTCCCTGTTGTCCCCGGTCCCCTGAGGAGTCCCCAAACCCTCCCCCAGTCCCCTCCTGGACTGCCCAGGAGCCCCCAAACCCCTTTCTCATCCTCCCCATTTGCTCAAATCATACCCCTAGTCCCCCTCCTGGCTCCCCTCAACTCCCTCCCAGGTACCCCCAAGACCCACAGACTCCCTCTCAGTTGCCTCCAGGACCCCCCAAAGTCTGTACCAGTTGCCCCAAACATCCCCCAAGCCCCTTCCCAGTTACCCCCAGGACCCCCATCTGCGGCTCAGCTTTGGGGTCCTGCAAGATCCAAACATTCCCAACCGACCCCCAGGAAAAAACCAAACAGACACCCCCAAGATATTTGGGGCGAGCTCCTTCCCCCCCGGTCACCTACGTGATGCGGGGCGGGGGGGGGGGGGCGATGCTCCTCCCCTTCCTCCTCCTCTTCCTCTTCCTCCGGCTCCTCCTCCTGTTCGTTCCGCGAGGCGGTCTCGGGTGAGCGGTGGGGGGGACACGATGGGAAAGAGGGGAGAGGGAGAAAAGAGCGGGTGAGAACCCCAAACTGAGCAAGAAAGGGGGTGGGTCACCTCCAAAGGGAACTGGGGGGAAGCCGGGGTTTGGGGGGAACGATGGGAAGGGGGTGGGAGAGGGGAGATAAGGGGAGGTGGGACAGCGGGAAAGGGGTTCCATTGGGACCCCTTCGTGTCCCCATCCCTTGGGCCCTGGAGAGGGGGGAGCCTGGAGAGAGGGGACCCCTGAGACCCCTGTCCCGAGCCAGCAGTCGAGGCCGTGCTGTTCGTTCTGAATTCCCGTCAGGCTGAACA